GCTAACCTCACCGCTGCCATCGCCGAAAGACGTGGAGTCAGCTGTTGTGTTGCCATCCAAAAGACCATGTCTGTCTCTCCTTATTTGTGTGCTTGTGCTTGCAGAGAAGTTATTGTTGTTGGTGGGATAGGAGTAGGAGGGGGAAGTCGGCTGGGGAGCACCCATCGACGACTGGCCCTGCTGCTGATAAGTAGCTACTGGACGCGAGACAGGCGGGTGAGCTTCGGTCTGCTGTTGCGGCTTGTACTGGGCAAGTACTGGAGCAGCGCCAGGGACCGTGGGATAATATCGCTGATCTGGCTGCAACGTGGGCACGCCGTCGGAAGCCCGGCCAGCTTGTGAACTAGCCTGCGACGGATCTGGCGAGTTGTGCTGGGAGGAGTAGTACGAGTTCTCGTCGAAGGAGTCACTTGCAGCTTCAGGGTTAGCAGCCAACCCGGTGGCATCAGCATTCAGAGGAGCAGTGGCCTCGACAAGAGTTAGCGCCTTTGATAGAACGTCGTGCAGGTTGAAGTCGGCCAGCGTCTCCAGCTGCGTAGATGCCTTCTGCGCGATGCGGCGCTGATCAACCTCTTCTCTCAGAGCGCGCTCTAGACGCTGCCTCTGCAACTGTATCTCGGCTCTAATGAGATCATCAGATTTTTCGAGGAAGATGGGATCGATCTGTGCTCCCGCCGAGCCGTATGCCCTGGCCGAAGAGGCACTGGCTTGGGGCGCTGCAGGAGCGCCCAAGCCGGGCACGTAGGCATTGGGGGTGTGGGCAGAGATGGCGGAACCGCTGTTGTTTTGACGTTGGACAGCTTGTTTTGGCGCTCTGGGCGCGCCTATGGGATGGGAAGGGGATGCAAGGTTAGAACGGGAGGGCTTGCCGGACGGATGATGCGGGACTTTGATCCTAGGATGGGTGCCAGCGACGATGGCATCTCGAAACTGCACAATCTTCTCGCACTGCTGGATCTGGTAGAGAACATCCTCCGCTGATGGATGGTTTGCTGGCGGCAAAGCACCTCTTGCAACCTGGCCTGTAGCCATGGCGAGACTAGGGTCAGCGACGCGAGGCGAAGACTGGCCCGAGAGTGAAGCTCGCGACGTGGTATGAAGACTCGAAAACTCGAGTAACAGAGAGTAGCATCAAGCGCTGGGGACGAAAGAAGTCAGAGAACGACTCGAAAGCGTGCCGTGGTGCAGTTCCTGAGACACGACAATCTTCACGGCAATGCCAGTGTGGGATGGGGATGCGCAGAGGAAAAGCGGCCAACGACAGCAGATATTGCGACGTGTTTGGGGGAGTCTCCGATCACGAGCAAGCTTCATCACAGACAAGATTTAATTCTGGCTCTGGCTGGTACAGGGGCGCACGGGATACTCGGTTACGGGGGGCTGCGCCAGTGACTTAGCGCCCCGTTAGTGTATGCACCACCATTGCGATGTGGCTGCTGCGGCTGCGGCTGCTGTGGCTGGTTCACAGGGTGTAGGGAGTGGGGGGCGGCCATCACATTCCCCGCGGCCACGACCCCACGACTGGAGCCCCCGGGCCAACCAAGCCAACATTGGATGCACCTCACGTCAATCGAGTTAGGCGGCCGGTGACTCAAAGAACGACTCGACAATTTCATGATTCATACGTTCATTCGCAGACGGGAATTAAATGACCAGTGTCCTCTGCGCTTCAGCCACAACTTCTGTCTTCATGATCACCAGACTCTCCAGCTCACTCAGAACTTTCACCTCAACCCTCACACGCCTCACTCCAACCTTGGCTATACGACCCCAAACGACTTCAAGATTGATCACCTCCATTGCAGCCCCTTCGAAGACCCTCCAAAGTAAACGAAGGCCGACGGCAGATCGCATCGTACTGACCGCATATACGAATCAAGCATTGAACAAACGCGCCACCAGCACCATGACGGGGGATCAAAGCCAGACCAATGGAGCGCCAGCTTCCAAACCAGTCCTCTTTTTGTAAGCTCTTTCAACCAAGGCCAACATCTCTGCCTTGTACTGGACTATCGGGACTGATGTATGTTGAAGCGATATCGACAACTGTCTATACCCTAGGAGTGAGTTGAGCAGACTTCAAACCGGTACATCGCGCCATGTGACCTCGGACTGATCGTCTTAGAATCTCAAATCCAGGACCTCATGGCAGAGCTCATTGATAAGTTCTTCTCCAACCACCTGTCCCTCTCCTGGGATGATGCTGTGAAGCTCCACAAGGAGTACTACACCAACTACGGCCTCGCCATCGAAGGCTTGGTCCGCCACCACGAAATTGACCCCCTAGAATACAACTCCAAGGTCGACGACGCCCTGCCCCTGGAGGATATTCTGACGCCTGACCCAGAGCTGCGCCAGCTGCTGCAGGACATTGACCGTAGCAAGGTCTCTGTGCGCCTCTTCACCAACGCCTACAAGACGCACGGCCAGCGCGTAGTGAAGCTCTTGGGCATCGAAGACCAGTTCGAGGGTCTCACGTTCTGCGACTACGCCGAGCAGCCGCTCACGTGCAAGCCTGCCAAGGCGATGTACCTCAAAGCCATGCAGCACGCGGGCGTCGAGAGGCCGGAGGACTGCTACTTTGTCGGTACGTGCTCTCATTCTTGTCGTTTGTTCATTGTCGTTTGGACTAGTGACTAAAATGCTGTGCAGATGACTCTTACCAGAACTGCAAGGCCGCGCAAGAATATGGCTGGACGGCAGCCCACCTGGTCGAAGAGGGCCTCTCCGTGCCGAGGACACCGGCGTCACAGTACCAGATCCGCCACTTGCAAGAACTAAGGAACGTTTACCCCCAGTTCTTCAAGTCGGCCAGCTCCCAGACTTTCCATAGCGCGGCGATATAGTGTCTTTAGACTACAGTGTTATCATGTTTTGTTTTGATTCTCGCAAGGGTCGTCGGGCAGACGAGTTATAAATTCATAGAGGCGTCCAAAGACCAGTCCATTCTGGCCGGGTATCATGCTATCTCTTCCGAGGTGCCCCTGGTGCCCACCCCCTCCCAAAAAGAAAAACGCCCGTTACGCCCCAATAGCCCATGCATTCATCTGTTCTTGGCAGCCGTTGGCAGTTCACGGCCTGCGCACGTTCCGTATCACCTCGTCCAGCTTGACGAGGATCTGGTCCTTCTCCTTGATAGCCTCCTGCCTCTGCACCTCCGCAATCTTGAGCTCCTCCTCCAACTCGCGCACATTCTTCTCCTGGTCGGCTTCGCTGGTGTCGAGACCGGGCAGGGTCGAGATGAGGACTTCGATCTGCTGCTCCTTGACGATGAGGTCGCGTGACAGCTCGAGCAGGCCGGCGCGGAATTCTTCGGGGTCGGCTGGTTCCACTGGACGACGTCAGATCGCGCCGGTCAACGACCCATATGGTGTTTTCCCAACCCTACCTTCGAGCTGGCTGGCACCCTTAGTGACATCGCGCACCTTGTCCTTCGGCCCTAGGACCTCGAGGTCATGGTGACGGTTGACGTAGTGGAAGCAGGCGACGAATTGCTGGGCCAGCTGTGGGACGCGGGTCAGCAGCGATCTTGTGGGGATTGCATCTTGGACTCTGGGAGGTATACCTGGTCGACAGCGTCCTGCAGCTGCGTGAGTCGGTCGGTCATGTTGGCGGCGCAAACGGTCGCATTCGTGGTCGCGAGGCGGGTGGTTACGGTAAGGCTGAGGGATTGGGGAAGTCATTGGCCGTGAGGTTGATGGTGGTGGTTGTCGAGTGGGGCAGCACATTGGCAGGGGGGTCTTCACGGGCACATCAGCGTGCATGGCAAGGCACAATGGGCGCCCTGCAACGCCTTTACCCAGCATCGGAGACAGGGCTAGACTTTGCGTGAAAACAGGTATAACCCTATTGCTTAAAGATTCTTTGTACCTTTTTTTCTGTGTTTTCACTTTTCACAGGCTTGACCACGTACGTTGGCAGAGAATAATTGTGCTTGATGTAGGCACTTGCGTTGAGGTTTTGACACAGGAACAACTTGTCCATTAATCGGCCAACATCTATCCTCGCCACTCGAAATGGGCAGGACTGCCAGGAAACAGCCTACAGTACATTGAAAATCGAGTATGATAGAAAGCCTGGTGTCCTAGAAGACCATCAAACTTCATATTCGCATAGAATCAGTGACGCGCAAAAACAATGGTGTGACCGACCTAGACGGGACAACGGGGTTACCTTCTTTGGGCATATCCTTAGTATTGGTTCACCTGTTTGGCCTCGTAAGAATGAATTGTATTTTAGGCTTCGTTGTACCATAGTATGTGTGGTACTTAGCGAGCAGCACGACCTCAGTTCGTAGAAATATGTACTCGATATGTTCACGAATAGCGCTCTCGAGAAGACTACCCATTACACTACACTTGTAGTGTACTGTAGTTTTCTATTACCGCCGTACCCACCCAGGAAATCCAAATAAACTAGGTGCCATAAGATCATGCTGCATGTTCACATACTAACCGGTAAAGGCCAACTTGCGATGACGTATGAAGATCATGATGCTGCTCGAGGACATGTGAAATTCTTTCCTTCTGGTGGCTCTGTTTTGTTTTGCTGGATGATATTGTAGACATCGGACGAAACGATAACATGGGACGAAATTGCGTCTCATAGTGAGGTACGAAAAGCATCCTTCAAATTACATATACTTCATCTGGTCCTTCTCAACATGCAACTAAAGCCAACATGGAGGCAAATAGTCAGCTGCCTCTGCGAGCACTCACAACCAAGTCTGCCGTGAAGCCTGATTCAAGCAAATATGACGAGAAAGCCCCATGCCGCAAGGAAAATTGACGAGAGCCACTGGGGTAGAAGGCTCCATGGAAGTACACCGTCATATGACCCTCGTCGGCAGCGATTCGAACGGCCAAGGAGATGATCGGGTTGAGAACCGAGAAGTATTAAGACCACGGCCTGCGACCACTTGGGCGTAGTCGAGGGGAAACACATGAACATCAAGTATCAATAGGGAATCAAGCATCAATGGGAACGCAGAAGACGGATCCGAAAGTCATAGCGTTGATTTACACGATCTCAATATCATACGAAGCTCGCGTAGCACTCTCGCCGCGTGTGATATGCGACTAACAATGCACGCCGCAACACCGGCAGTTCCCGTCTGCCCAAGCCTCACCACTAGGAGGCCACTTCTTTCAATACAGAAAATCATACAGCCAGCAGAAAGCGACTTGATTACGCCCATGGCCGCCAGTTTTTGGAGGTCCTTCCTACACTGATACCCTCTTCCGCCGGAAGACCCCATTCCTAATCCGTGATATACACAAGGCGGCCCCGACACGTTGACTCACCGTCGCGGACAAAGTAACTTTGACAACTGATTTTGTTGGCGAGGTACGCGCCGACGGGTCTCCGAAGAGACCAGACGATGCGGACCACCCCCCTCAGTTGTGTCCGTTTAATATCTGAACGAAGCGCCTCAGCAAATGATTCGGACCGGCCATTGTAACAATAGTGTGTGTAGCTGAGAGACTGGTTCGCGCGTGCCGAGACGAGCGGCGTGGGCTGCTGCGGAAGGGGAGGAGCGTTGCTTACACCTGCTCGGCTCCCCAACCAGCGTCGGCTTCGCGCATGTTGGCGGGTGGCTCGATCTGGGGGATGAACTCGAGAACGACGTAAGAGACGCCGATAATGCCGACGATAGAGCCGGCGATGATGCGCAGGACGTTATCGCTGAGGAGGATGGAGCCAATGAAGATGTAGACTGCGCGCATGTTAGTCCCAACAGTTGCGACTGGCCACTGGAGTGCGAGCTCAAACTTACAGACACCACGGCCTAGGAAGGAGAAGAGGAAAGAGGCATAGCGCGAGACTTGCGGGGGAACCCGGAATTCTGCGATCTGTCAGAGAGGTACGGCTTGCGTGGAGGGCGCGGTATCACGTACCAAGAAGAGCCGTGCCTGTGCATGATGAATTAGCGAAGATGTCCATGTCTCGTGGTCCTGATTCACTTACAAAGGCCGAAGATGATGACGTAGACACCAACGATGATGCCCTGGCTGTAAGCGACACATGTCAGTGCTGTGCTTATCGTGTTGGATCGCAATCTCTCCAGGGTTCCGCGCCGTATTGGGCGCTCAGCTCACGAGCCGATAGGAGCCGCCGATGGCACGTCCATCAATTGCTCGAGGCAGAAGCTGCCCCATACGAAGCATTCCAATTTGTAGATCGCGATCGGACGGAGGTCAAACGTACAAGCTGAAGTTGAAGAATTGAGCAATGCCGCCCAGGACCATAATGGTCGCAGTGACGAGGTTGACGATGCGGCTGCACAAAAGGCGCGATTGTTAGCAAGGGCTATCCTCCAGTGGCTGGTCCCTCAGCGACAACTCACAAGGCGTCGGAGAGCTCCATCTTGAAATGAAAGGGAGTGAAGCCGGTTCAAAACTTGGGTTGGTGGTCGGTTTGACAAGTATTTGTCGAAGCGGATGCCTAGTCACGGCGTCCAGGCAGCGGAATTCAACGAGTCTTGATAGGGTGAGGGTTGTCGCAAAGGGGCGAGGGATTTCGCAGCCGATTCGTGGGGGGCGGTCGGGTGATGATGGCTCGACGAGTGGGCAGTGTTGGTGTAGAATAGCAAGATGGCCAGGAGCTGGGGCAGATTGAAGACGAATGATGAAATGCGTGCGAGCTCCTGTCCAAGCTGGTCAAACCTGGCAACCCAGTCCGAGCTCAAGATCTACGCTTACCTAACCCGGACTACATAAGGGTACGTAAGCGGGTTCGACGTCAGCCTGTGAACGTGTGACAGATGCCCCTTATTGAAACCTCTGTGAACACCGTGCGCCCTGTCAGTGCTGACATTTTTTCTTCTTCTTTTTAGATTCATCTTCTACGTTCGACTCGCATAGTGTGGTACGTGTCTCTTGTGGTGCGGGTGAGCATGGAATCTCAGTAGGATGCAATGCCATTTCGCACATCTTCAAAGCATGATCCATTGCGTTCAATAGCCGTAGTACTCGACTGAACCTACTTTCCTGTGGTTTTGACTCGTTCCTGATCTGCACCATTCATGTCGAGGGCTGTGTTCAAAGCCACGAGCATGCCATCCACGTGTAAGCCTTGGGGGATGATAAATCAACAATGATACGTAGAAAAAGCCATAATCACGGCAAAAGTAAAGCCGGAGCGTATAGCGCGCCATGGATGTTCATATGGGAACCAGATGCTATCAGAATCACTGCAAAGCCTTTTGAATGAAGGTTTCTTCTAAAATACGGCGTACCGTCATGACAGCTCCGCGAGAAGCATTCAACTCCGTGCCTAACCCCCCCCATTTTGTCGGTATCTCTTTCACCATGCGGCAAACGAAACGCCAAATCTAGGTTGTCGACCACCAGCATGCCGTTGCTGTTGTTTTCCTTGCTCCGCCAAAATGCGCCAGCAGCTGTCCGGGCCCCTTCCTAATGCTAAAAGACACAAGGGTTCCCATCCCAAGACTCCGTTTCTAAACAGTAGAGGAGCCTTTCGGCGTGCCTCTTTTTCCAAGGTTCATCGTAGCGTTTAGTTTCCGTCATTTCATGGCCTGGATAGGCTCGCTAATTCTCTTTCTTTCGCCGCGAGGGCTTCCCTCATCCTGCGTGCTTCTTGCTCCAGGGCCATGCGTCTGCTCCCATCATCTTGTACTGGTTGCGATGGCGGGTAACCGCTGGCTGTTGGTGAAGACATGCCTCCTGTATTGGAGTAAGATCCAGGGCTTGGTGCAAAGCCCGGTGACGCGCGAGTTGCTCGCGAATACATCTCTCCCGCCTCTTCGCTCTGTGATTGCGCCATATTCGAAGGATTTAGAATTGATTTGATCGAGGAAAGCCGCTTTGAGCTTTCCGGTCCTCCATCCGGGGTCGGGAGACTATCGTTATCGGCGGCGGAGAATGATCGTTTGCGAGACGGTGAGGCGAACGACGCAGGTGACATGGACGCTTGTCGGTCTGCAACATGGGTAATCGACGTGATCGGGGCGAGTCTGTTCTCGTACGAGTGCGAGTCGTTGGAAGGGAGGGAGGGTCGTTGGTGCGTGGGTGGTTGGTAGCCCGCCAGGTCGGCAACCGACGGTAAAGTTGTGTTGTGTTGACTTGAGGAGTTTGGGGCTGAGGGCAGGATAGGGGGAAGGCCGTGAGGACGAAGTCGGAGGCCAAGGTTGATAGATCCATCGTCGTTCATGCTGCCCCTTTCTGGGCTGCCCTCAGGTGCCTGACTTTGCGTTTCCGAACCGTCGTACTCCTCGTTCCAGTCGCTTCCCGCGTACGCGTTTGGCATGACTCTTTTTCTCCGCTTGATAATAGATTTCTTCATGCTCACAGGCCTATGAACACCGTGCAACTTGTAGTAGAGACCTGGTTTTGTCAGTACCATTCAAAAGGGAGTAGGCACTGGACTCGAACGTACCGCAAGCATTACATATAGTATGCCCGCTCTCATCCCTCCTCCAGAGTGGCGTTGTCGTGGTCCCGCAGTTCTGACAGGCTATGACAACCGTGGTGTTCTGGTTCTGGATCTGCAAAGCCGCAATGTCGATCGGAGCCGAGGGGTCGTCCACCCCCTGATCGCCCTGTTGGCCAGTGGAACCGCAACCCTGACCCTGCTGCTGGGGGTTGAGCTGCGCAGACTTCGAGACTCGGTTGTTGTAGGCGGGGCATCCACCACATCCTTCGGCACCGCCTGTACCATTGCACTTTCCACCACCCGGGCACGTGCCGGTAGGCACCCGCTCCTCGGTGACATAGGTCGGTGCTGGCCCCCCTGGATACTTGGGTCCGGGACCTGGAGCCGGGGCGATCTTGGTTGGCGCGGCTCGCGAGTTGGCGGACACGAGTTGGGGCGGCTTCTTCTTCAGGGACGTAGGGCGCGAGGCGTTCCGTGCCTTCTGATACAGGCCGCAAGCGTTGCAGATAGTGGTACCCTGGGGCGATCTCCTCCACAAAGGGGTTTGCGTCGTTCCACAGTTGCTGCGGATGATTAGCACAATACATCGGCGACGGGCAAGTCGAAAAGTCCTACCTGCAGACCTGGCCAACATGGCCCTGAGACGAGGTAGAGGCAGTCGTCGGTGCGGGGCTTGCGCTGACGCCAGTCCTAGTTTGCGTGGGCGACGTTCCTCCCACTTCTGATGCCGGGCTGGGCGCCTGGGAGGTCGACATGGCATCACTGGACAGGCTGCGGCGAAACTCTGCCGCCCGAAGTGGTATTGTCGCTTGCTCGCCGGCTTCCCGCGTAGGTCGAGCAGATGGCCCGGGGCCGTTGATCGTGTTCTTGATGTCGTGCTGGGCTGCGGGCGACTTTCGTTGCGTAGGGAGTGCTGTTCTCGAGGCAGATGTGGTGTCTCTTTGTGCGCCATGCGCGGCAGAGCGGGCAACGTCCGACATGGCCATGTGCAAGCAGTGCTCAGTTACGCGGTGGCTGCAGCAGAGGGTGGGCGTTCCGAGGAACAAAGCAAGGGGCGAAGGAGGGGCTGAGAAAAGGCCGATAGAAGGTCGAAGATGGAGGCGAATCGCTGGACCACAGCGAGAGACAGGCGTTGTCGTGTCGGTGTAGTACACGGACAGGGGGGGGCGGTTTCGGGGGGGCCAGTTGGGTGCAGTGGCTATGTCGCCAGAGACGTTGGGTCCTGAGCCCCGCGTTGCAACAGACGGTGATCGGGCGGTGAGTCGTCGTTGATCACACCCGTTGCTGCCTTTGTGTACTGGACCACGGCGGCAGATGCTGCTGCTTCACCACCAGTCACGGTTGATGAGGAAAGCCCGAGTTGCGATGTCGGTCCTTGTCGTCGTGAGTCCAGAAACGTGCCTACGTGGGTATTGCCACTACTTGTTACTTGTTCCCTATTCAGGGGGACGGGCTCGAGAGCCAAGACGGGGATGCCGTGGCGTGCAGCAGTGTCTTCTGGCGGCTCAAGTAGCGGGGCTAGATAGAAGGAGAAGAGGGAGAGAAAGAGAGGGATCGGGGGCCGCTGAAAGGTGTAAAGTAGGGGTGAGACGACCGTAAGCGTTAGGGAAGATGGTCGTCTGTCGACAGAGAATGCATGCCGAACAGATAGGGCGTCAGGGAGTCGTCCAGATGTGCCGTCCAGCCTGAAAGACGTGGTCGAAGGATGAGGTGGGCTCCAGAGAAACCGGAGAACGACAGGGTGTGTTCCACTGAACAGGCTGATGGAGGTGGTGTGTTTGGTGAGGCCGAGGGGCGTGTGGTTGGCTGCGGTCCCAACGCTGTGGGATGAGGCAGGCAAGAGGCAGAGGCGAAAGGCAGGTAGGTGGACGGGGGGGATGGAAGGGGGGGGGGATGCGCCTGCCACTTTAGAGAAAACTGGTTTGATCTGACAGATCAGATCGGCTCCTGTCCGGCGTCTTTGTTTCTGTCTTTCTGTCTGTCTTGTCTCCCTGTGCTCCTGCTGGGCATATGCGGCACGGAGGCACAGGCACGAGGCGGCGGCGGCTGGTAGACGTGTTCTGGGGCTGGCGCAGACCTGAATAGTGAACAATGATGAAATGGGTGTGATGCCGAGAGATGGTCACTGGCAGATTGGCACATGTAGGGGGGGTCTCTATATGCACCAATCATGTCGAGGAGAAATACAACCAACACGATATGATTGGGAGAACCCATCGACCCACTGCTAACCCTGGCTCACGCTTGGCCTGAAGAGGGCACCCTAGTCTCACGCCTCGGGGGGGAGCATCCGCCGCCTTGACGCGACTCGGTTGGATGCGCAACCTCATCCGCCTCAAAGCGGCATTCGCATTTCATGCAACTGTCTACGACACGAAGCCACATTTGAGCTTGGAAATTTTCGTTTAAAAAGCCTCTGGCTGTAGTTATGAAAACATGATGCACGTCTCTGTCGACAATGTCTCTTACCGATCCAACCAGGCAACCCAGAGGGATCCTCAAGAGCCCGGCGCATCGACCCCAAATGGTAGAACAGATGACCAAGATAGCATGTTTAACATCCGATCCGGCGCAATCATTTCCTATCAGCTCACTACTGCGGTGCAAAGTCTGGAGCCCGGCAGAGGGCAAGCCAAGTGGAGTGCTCCCAACCAGACGGGCCCTCCTCGAAGCCTGGAAGGTGGTCGACCCAGATGGTCTTCCGAGTTCCGGTCGATGGTCACATTTGGGGCTGCCTGGCCCAACCCCTCGTTCTGCCTGTCGCTTACGTACATGGTATAGGCACCCCGCAAATAGTGCCAGCTTGTCGAGAAGCGAAGCTAAAAAAAAACGAACACAAAAAAGCGAGTTGATCGCCGACTGGAGGCCAGTCATGAACCAGTGGTTGGTTACAGGAACATCCCAAGTGGACTGTACGTAATATCAGCCATGAACATGCTCGCTTGTTTGTTTCTATTTTATTTTCGATTTTTACCCAACTCAGCTTTCAGCGAACAGGATTCATGCTTATGCTATGCTACCTATGCTGCGTTGGCAGAGGGGCGCTGTCTCTCTCCTGCATGTCGGAAGCAGCGCAGGCTTATCCGGCCAGCGGCATGATGCAATGCAACCCCCCTAGAAAAACATGGCCACGCAGGCCCTCCCCCCCCTTAACCCCCCGGATTTTGGTAACCAGGCCTCGAGGAGTTAAGTTGCAATGCCGAGGACCGATCGCAGGAGCGAGCGGCCTCGGGTTTCGTTGTATTGCTAATAAATCGGATACAAAAAGTGCCGTGACCCTAAACATAGCATGTGTAGCTCTCGTAGAAGATGGCAAATGCAAAATACATCACTAGAGAGTTAATTTCATCTATTGAATAGTCATTATACAGTGTAGAGGGTATCCATAATGCTTAAGCGGGTAATGTCTCCGTAACAGCCATTTGAATCGTTGACAGTGGAGCATCCAGCGCAAGCCGCACAGCGCAACAACCATACAGTCAGTTTCCGCCCAAAAACAATCATACAATCTTTTTCCTCCTGTTCGTCTTGCTCTGCAACCGCAAGGCCACATGTCATTGTTAAGCGTCGGGGTCGCTGTCGGCGTCATCAGACAGCTGAACAAAGTTTTTTGTCAAGGTCATCATGTGGTCTCTCGCGAGGCACATGACAATGGCCACCGTGATGGCGTTCCAGACGCCTTGGTTCTTCACGTTAAACCCGACTTCCACCTGGTAGCTGACTTGCGCAACATCATCCTCTTTTGCTGAATCTATGGACAGGATCATGACGGTGGCGTTGACAATGAACATGCCGTACAGAACGGGCGGCTGTTGCATGTATGGCGACTCGATACTGGGCCTCTGCTTTTTTGATTCGTCCGTCAGATGGACGATTTCCGTTCCCCCGTCTTCGCGCTTGATGACAAGGGGAGAAGTGCTGTGTCGCTGCGAGTTTGCGGTGCAATCGTCGTCTGACTCGCTCTTCACAAGTCCATCTGGTGTTCCGTCTCGCGGCACGACAGCTCTTCCCGAGCGGTTGATCAGCCAATATGCACGATGTCTGGCGGCCAATGTCCTCAGCCGATTCTGCATGCGCTCTTCAATCTTGATACTGCCGACCGTGGTATCCACAATGTCTATGATGACATTGGGAACTATGTCGAGATTGTCGTAGCTTCCATCCTGGGCAGCCCACCTTGCATACTCTTCGAGCTCTTTGCGTATACAGATAGGTACCTTGTCACGCTGCCCGCTCTGCATCAGTGAACGGACGCTTGATGTCAATTCGATCAGCTGAATTAAAGCCTTGGTAGCTGCGACTGTATTAGCGACCAGAGTATCGACTGACGAAAAGAAGATGCCAACCTACCTTTAAACTCGTTGCCAGACTGGGAACAGATGACGGGCGTCTCGTCATCGTTCTTTGAAAACAACACGCCGGGAATGGGGATGCCCCTGAAATCCATGTCCCATTTTCTCGGTAGCAGAGGGTTGTACTGCCTCATGTACAGTGTCTCAAATAGTCGGAGTTCGTCGTCGGCCCACGCAGCGCTTCCAGGGAAGAACTTCTTCTCATCCGCCATGGCATCGAAGTGGTCCTGTTCTTCCCGTGGGTCGACCTCGTCAGCAAGGTCGCCGCTGAGACCTTGGTGCGAGTCGCTACGCCTAGGCCGTTTCGCGTGTCCATGTTGCTCACTGTCCCCATGACGTGGTGGCGTGGTCGAGTTTGGTGTCGAAGAAACACCTTGGGAGGCATGAGAGGAGTCACGGGGCCGTATAGGTGCTTGGGCAGGCGACAACGTCTTGCGCTTCTTCCCACGACTCAATAGGAGTGGCGTTGGCACATCGGCCTCCGTTGGGTGACGGGCTTCCGCCGGCGTAGAAGGTGTCGAACCTTGGAGATCCCGACTCGTTGCCATTGTTTCCTCCTCTTGGAAGTTCCCTGCGTCGATGAAAAAACGGTCAAGGTTGAGAGAAAGCGTCAGTCGTCAAAGCGGTGTAGGGAAAGTCTGTCAATTGGTCTCAGGCACGGAGCCTCTGCAGATTTGTCACAGGCTGAACCAAGCGAAGGAAATACAGAAACATGGGCAGGAAGGAACGAATTCGCTGGCTTTTTGTAGAACTCATATTCATCATGTCGAATAATTTCCATTGTTTCTCGTCTTTGACACTTGACGATCTTTGAGCTGCCTCAAAGAAAAGCGGTCAGTGAGGGCACCTCGCTTGTTACCAACTCAATATGCCGGGGTCTGTCAATGGGACAAGACAAGACAAGACAGGAGTCGTCACAATGGAATCGAGTCCAGGGGTCACTGGGCAAGGCCACTAGCACAGTTCAGGAACGCGTCGACGCCACAAACCTCGTTGTGCTTGAGGCTTGGATCGATCCCGATAGGGCCCCATCGCCATGACGTGGAGCAGCAGCAAGAGCAAGAGGCTCTTCTGACCCCCATTTGGGCCCACCCCCCCTTCTCAAGAAAAACCACCCCTACGTAGAGTGCACCTGCCTGCTATTCTGCCCTTGCGCTAGTGTGGACAAGGGGGGCAATTTTTTAGTTGGACCTGCCAACATGGAGGCGAGTGACCTCGCGACAGCTAACGCGCGCCCATGTCAAAGCACCAACACCTACCTATCTACCTACCTCGACCCAAGGAGGCGCGCACAACTACCTCCATCCCAGTCTCGTCGCAACGAGACGACTAATACTCAGACAACCTGAGCTTAGTCCACTCTCCTCCTATCCTAAGGTACATTGGCACTCGGCTGTCAAGTCACCAAATCAGAGGGTTCTTAATTCAACGCGTCGCCTGAGCTCAGTCCCTATTGCATCATCAATCAATAGACTTTAAGAAACTTATCCAACATCCAACTTCGACACCAACAACAAATTCCAGCCACTCGACGGACGGCTCGAAACCTTCTCGACCTTCCCATGCTTCCAGTCCACTGAACTTTGTGCTAACAATGGCCGATTGGAATAAGTCCAAGGTCGTTGACCTCCGAAATGAGCTCAAACGCCGTGGCCTTCCGCACGCAGGCTTGAAGCAAGAGCTTGTGCAGCGCCTCGATGAAGACGATGAACAGACCGCCACATCTGGAGATGCGAAGCGAGACGAAGCCATCGAGACGGGTTCTGTTTTGATCGCGGATGATCAAGAATCGGCTGCGGCAAACGAAGATTCTACCAGCGCACCTGCCCTAGCAACCGACGCACTCGATGCTCCTGCTATTGCTGCTACCCAAGATGGAGCGCCCGCAAATTCTGAATATGCGGAACCCAAAAACATCACAACCGAACCTATTGCTGTCGATGACAATGGCTCGAATGACATTACTACGCCTGCCGCAGCTCCCCAAGAGTCGGAGGTAGTACAAGACGCGCAAAAGCGCAAACGCCGTTCCACAAGCCCACCTCCCGAGCCGAAGCGTATTAAGGCTACTGCTGCCGAGATTCATGAAGAGGAAGTGATTCCTCCCGTGTCCCCAGAGGGTACCGAACAACATATTAGCCCAAACAGCGGCGTCGAGCAGAATACTTTGCCGGATTCGGGGCAGGTGGCCGAGAGACTAGACGACCACGAGATGCATGACATCCCAACGAATGATCAGCCTGCAAACAGCCCTGGAACCATCAATGTCGAAAACGAGCAGCAACCTGTTCGACAACCCTCACCAACTCCAGAAGCACGAGGTCGACTGGCCATACCAGAACAGCAAGCCGACTTCCAGCCCAGCCACAACGCACCAACCGACACAATGGACTTTGAACGCAACATCGAGCCCGCCGCGCACCCTGCGACCCGAGCCCTGTACATTAAGAATTTCATGAGGCCTCTCCGGGCCCCAGATGTCAAGCAGCACCTCCTCGACTTGGCTTCCTCTCAAGCCAACTCCATAGAGGAGAGTGCTATCGAAATATTCTATCTCGATCAGATCAGGACTCATGCCTTTGCTGTATTTAGCGACACGTCAAAAGCCATGCGTGTGCGTTCCGAGCTTCACAATGTGATCTGGCCAGACGAGAGCAATCGCAAACCCCTCTGGGTTGACTTTGTGCCGCCCGAGAAGGTGCACGACTGGATCTTGGAAGAAGAACCGGAGACTGGTCGACGCGCTTCTGCGAGCTCAAGGTGGGAGATACGATACGAAAGAGACCATGACGGGAACGTGGTCGCGGTGCTCGATTCTGGCACTGCGCCGACTCCCGCCCTGGCCAACAGCGCACCACCAAACAGACCCTCGCGGCCCATGCCACCCCTCGGCCCCTCTGGGACTTCATTCCCTCCCTCTGGTCCCGGCGGCGGCAACAGCGTCAACGCCATCCCAATTGGTCCTCGTGCTGGTCGCGGCGGGCGCGAACCTCCTCTCGGCCCCCGAGGCCCCTCAGACACGCGTGGCCCTGGCGGCCGAACCCCTGGCTTCGCCAGCGGTCCCCTGCGTACAACGTCCACAAACCCTCCGCTCACATTCCAAACCGTCTCCGAGGACCTTGCACGCCAGCGCGTCGACTCGATGCGTTCCCACTACACCCGCGACATCCATCGCGACATGGGTACTGAGGACGAAATCAACCGCTACACTTTTGAATCTGGCGATGTCTTTGTAGACCGCGGTAAAGAGGTCTTCATTGGCATCCGCCCCCCGCACAGAGAAGCCGAGCGGCAACGGCAGCTCACCGAAGGCGGATCTTACCGCCGCCCTGGACCGGGCCCGCGTGGCCCCCCGCGCCGTGGGCCTCGCGGGCCTGGTGGTCCTGGAGGCAGGCCTCTCAGCGATCGTTATCTTCCTGGCATCAACGAGAGCGGCCCGTTCAGGCAGGGTGACCGCGGGAACTTCTCGCGCCGAGAGGACGATCGTTTCGGGGACTCCAGAAGGCCGGGCGGCCGAAGGGATGATCGCTGGGGCGGCGGCGGCGGTGGCGGCGGCGGCTACAGGGGAAGACCTCGCTACTAGACCGGGCGCAGAACAAGAATCGACATAGTCGCCCTTGATGCGCCAGCCTCCGTGGGTTTTTTTGTTTTTAGTTCTGGAAGGCGACCACGGAGACGCGCTCGAGGCCCGGTACGAATAATGGACGGTCTGAGGCACGCAAAGGGCAGCCGGTCGGACGGCCGGAGGGATGCCATGGAGGATTTGCCTGGGGCCGAGGCAATGGTCATTTGCGTCGAGGAACACACCCGGTGGTGGTGATGAGCATGGGCGGGTTTGGGTGACTAGTACATGATGTATGATTACTGTATGGTCTCGGGACAGAAAATAAGTGTCGCAACAGGCACAGAGATGACACGTTGGCTAAGTTGCACATGGCCTGGCCGTCCGTGAGATGCGTGCAACATGAGAGCCCGTGACACAAAGCCCTTGTCAAAAGAAGTCGTCGACGACTACTGCCCCCGTAAGTGTAGATGACCGAGTAGGAAGTATGCTATAGGCGAACGTTCTCCAATCAAATTGGCGATCATTGTTTTCAAGTTGTGCAGTACGCCGAGCTACTGGTCAGCTTATATGGAAGGAACAGGCAAGTCGCTCACTGTATAGTATTACCAGTGTCTCAATGTCTCATTTATATGCAACTCGACAGACGTGTCACATTGGAAGGTTTTGGCAGGCACTTTCAATATTCAGATTTGATCATTGATATAAAAACAACTCCGCTTATCCCAACACGGCAACTCCCAGCAAGACATTTTCCAATCTCACGTCCGAGAGGGCCATTCCGATTCCAACGTCAAAAAGGAAAGAAGAGGCACACAGGCTTGCACCATTTAGGCGGCGCTGGCCAGCGAGACGGGCTCGACGCCGACGCGCTCACGGCTGAGGATGTCGAGCATGAGCTGGGTCGGACGGTTGTCGCGGTAGACCTTCTGGTTGTCCTTGAAGAGCTGCACGCTCTGGAGGTACTTGTCGAAGAGGTAGGAGCTGTCCATGGGGCCGCCCTTGGCCTCAGGGTGGAACTGGGTGGAGAAGATGGGGCGGGTCTTGTGCATCATGCCCTCGTTGCTGCCGTCATTGAGGTTGACAAAGTACTCCTTGAAGTCGCTGGGCAGGGTGCTCGAGTCGACGGCGTAGCCGTGGTTCTGGCTGGTGATGTGGCACTGACCGGTGGTCAAGTCGAGGGCGGGAATGTTGTGGGCGCGGTTGCCGTACTTCAGCTTAATGGTGCGGGCGCCGGTGGCCAGAGCCAGAAGCTGGTGGCCAAGGCAGATGCCCATGATGGGGACGGACGAGGTCTCCATGAGGCGGCCAAGGTTGTAGATGGTCTCCTGGCAATGGGTGGGGTCACCGGGGCCGTTGGAGATGAAGACACCGTCAAAGTGAGAGGCAACCTTGTGGATGGGGTAGTTGTAGGGGAAGACAGTGACGGAGGCACCACGGCTGACAAGGCTGCGCATGATGTTTTCCTTGACACCGCAATCGATGAGGGCGACGTGGAGGTTGGCACCGGGCGACTCAACAACGAAGGGCGCCTTGGTGCTCACGCGCTTGACAAGGTTGATCTGGCCGGGGTCGATGAAGCTCTCATCCTCGTCGGCGTCGTACTCGTCACCGATGGAGATCCTAGCAAGGGACGAACCCTGCTCTCGGAGGTGGGTGACAATTTCACGGGTGTCGACGCCAGAGATGGCAGGCACACCCTCGCGGGCGCACCACTCGCCGAGGCTCTCGACGGCGGTCCAGTGGCTGTACTTCTCGGCGACATCAGCGACGACCACGCCTGCACACTGAATGTGAGGCGATTCGAAGTACTTCAGGAGCTTCCACTGGTCGAGCTCGTTGGAGGGAACACCATAGTTGCCAATGAGGGGCTGGGTGAAGACGAGAATCTGACCACGGTAGGAGGGGTCGGTCATGGACTCGGGGTAGCCAACGAGAGAGGTGGTGAAGACGGCTTCGCCGGAGATGTTGGAGTTGGCACCAAAGGCACGGCCGGAAAAGACGGGACCGTTCTAGGATGAATTAGCGGGGGTTCAGCATCTTCAAGTTCGAGAGCCACGACGACAACATACGCGAATGGTAAAGGTGGCGTCGAGGTTCTTAGCGGGAGCGGTGCCACGGGGCTGGTTGTTGGGCATGGCCCTGCCGGAAGCGAACCGGAGCTGGGTTCCGATGCGGGCGCTCAAACCGGCAGCACCACGGGCGGCGGGTTTGGCGAGGTTCATGGTCAATTGGGGAAACATGATGTTTGGTTCGAAGGAGTGTCGAAGTGAGGGATGAAGCTGGTTGATCAAGAACACTTTCTAGGGGCTAGCAGCCTTCCACAAGTGGTCTGTGTTGCTCATGGGTTAGCTCGGACATGACACGATAGTGGTTCCCCTTTGGGAGGGGGCGGTGAGTCAATTGAGGGTGCGGTGAGGCGTACCAGAGAGATAGTCCTATTGATAAGAATTAGCCAGCTGAAAAGCAGATGAATTGACCAAATGCAGGCAGATGAGAGGCGGACGCAGCGAGGAAAACTGAGAGGATTCGGGCCCAATTGATGCTTGGTGGAAGAGGCAACCGGCAGCGGGGTAGGCGGGAAGGCATGGAACATGCCATGACCTCACATGGACAACAAGCAGCGGGAACATACCTGCGAGGTGAAGATGGACGGGCGCCCGTGCATAAGGGCAACTGGACCGGAATTCGATCAAAGCTGGGCTGTGGAAAAAGGTAGACGGCGGGAGTGGCGGTGTCGGGGGAGACGAGAATTTGAGCGCTTGAGGTTTCTGATATGTATCGGTCGGAGGACGATGCAGGATGGATGCGGGAGAAGGAGAGCGAGAGTGGGAAGAGTCACAGGCAGGCACAGCCAGCGAGGGCCTGCTTAAGAAAAAAAAGCTTATCATTGGACCCTCCAGGCCAGATACCGTTGAGTCGGGGCTCTGACACACGCGGGGCCCTTTCTGATTGGCTGCTCGTCTCTGTATGACCGCCGATATCGCGGCAGCGCAGCCAATGCACCCAATTCAGCGAATCCGGCTTTGCCGCTATCTCTTGCTCGCCTATCCAATGCTTGGCGGCCAGCAGCAGGAACCTGCTCTCTCCTGCCAGACCTCTTTTGGTGGTGATCCACCCTGCATCAGGGCACCAGGCACGGTGCGGATCGTCAGAAAGACGTGGAACTTGTCTGTTGGACCCTGAAGTGGCGTCGAGGGAGCATGCTCCCCCGGCCAGCAAATGATGGCCGCGGAGCCCTATGTCGTCTCCGTGGCCCATGCTACTCCTAGGAGCCTTTCTGCACAGGAAGTTTACTTGAGAGCACACTGAGTGAAGGTCCACTATTAAGGGCGTTGCTGTTGGCCCTTGACGCTGTGACGAGGAGTCAGCCGCCTTGAAAGTTTAGGAAGCACAATCATCTGCGCCAATTCGCAGTCATAACCCTTTCATTCGCCATTAGACCTGCTCCCAGCTCACGAACATACCTGACTTAGGTAGTGAACACATGCACCAGAATCAACACGCGGCCCTGCTTTGCACAAATCCTAGTTCAACTAGCTCCGCATGTACACCCGTCATAAGCCAAAGGTACTGGTACACGCCATTGTATTTTAAATAGCACCGAGCTCCTTGAGCTTCGCGACGAGCCCGTCCACATCCTCCACCTTGCCGCCACCCTGCCTCGGCGCGGGCTCTGTAAAAGCAAAAAAATGGTATCAGCATTCGTCATCATCACAAGAATATCAATGATATATCAATGACACCCAGAAGAGGAGGGGGGAGACGCACCAGTGACCTTGAGAACCTTCAGCCTCGCCTCGGTCGTCAGGCCATAGTCGGCCAGCTTCTTCTTCTCCAACGGCTTCTTCTTTGCCTTCATAATGTTCGGCAGGCTGGCGTACCGCGGCTCGTTCAGCCGCAGATCCGTCGTGATGACCATGGGCAGCTTGCCCTTGAGCGTCTCAACGCCACCGTCGACTTCGCGCGTGACGCTGACCGTGTCGCCCTCGCCAAACTCGACCTTGCTCGCCTGCGTCGCCTGCGACCAGCCGAGGAGACCCGCGAGCATCTGGCCCGTCTGCCCGGCGTCGTCGTCAATGCTCTGCTTGCCCAGGATGACGAGGTTCGACTTGTGCTCCTCCGCCGCCTTGCGCAGCAGCTTGGCCACCGACAGCGGCTCCAGGTCCTCGCCCTCCTTCGTCTCGACGTGGATGCCGCGGTCCGCGCCCATGGCCATGGCCGTGCGGAGCACGTCGACCGCCTTCGGGGGGCCCGCCGAAATGACGGTAATGTCCTCGACGCCGCCGGGCGCGCGCTTCTTGTCGCGGATGCGGACCGACTCCTCGACCGACAGCTCGTCGAAGGGGTTCATCGAGTGCTTGACGCCAGCCGTCTCGACGGCCGTCTGGGCCTTGTTGACGCGCGGCTTGACCTGGGGATTTCGGTCTCCCATTAGCAAACGTTTCCTCCCAAAGGAGTAGAGTGAGTGCACGTGAAGTGAACTTACCGCATAGTCAATGACCCGCTTTACGGGGACGAGAATCCTCAATGCAGACATTTCTGTTTTCTTCTTTTCTGCTTTACTCTGCTATGTGATGCTTCGCTTCTCCAGGTCCGAGGGTGCGCGAGGTAGAGACGTCGGGAGGTGGACTTTTGGCCTGTCGAACAATCGGCGTCATTGGCAAAAGACCCGTGGAGTCCAGGTGCGAGACCGGCTAGTACCGGCCTCCCAACCTCGGGATCTCGGAGCACGTGACCCGCACGTTGGCCCCTCAGTTCATGGCATATAGCCGATAAGACCCACCACCCCCCAACCGCCCACCCCCCCAACCGCCTACCTAAACTAACCATTTTCACTACCTAAAACGCGCTCTTAGAATAATAGGTTTCTTACGATATCTTTTCCAATTTTAATAATATAGCTTAGCTAACTATACTATTAGATTCAGAATAAAGAGATATACTAAAGATAACGTTTTAAACGCTCTAGCCTTAATTAAGCGAGGTATAACTAGGCGTAAAGCTATACGCGACTAGAACGTACCTATATTAACGCTTCGAGGAAGGCTTAGTAGTACTATAGAGCGCTTAATTACTCGGGAAGATACTATAACAACCAAGGGTCGAACGACGGGCCGCAGGTAGCCCCGCATCAGGACAACCAGGAACGACGATAAGATAAGGACTGCTAAGGAACTAGTCACATGATAGGATCCCTAGGTAGGGTGATCCTCGGATAATAGATCACTAATATATCAGGATCATAGTGATCCGTGATCTAATATAATAGGATTATAATATAATAGTAAGCTATCTAATATAAGCTTACTACCCTATAATAAGGATAGGATAGACGGGTATATAAGGACGGATATCTAGATTTATAGATATATTCTTTCTTACGATAGTAATTAATCTAAGTCTTACTTTATATCTATTATAACGAGTACGTAACGCTTTACGATACTATATCGTCTTAGAATTATAATTTAAGCTTCTATAAATAATAACCCTAACCCTCTAATAATATTCCCCCTTTAGAAGCTACTAGGTCGTAATATTTTAATTATTCTTATTTAATAGGTTTACTTTATAATACTAAGTAATACTTATTATAGGAATAATATCTATTAATAGCGTCGGAAATAGTATTAATAACTTAGCTACTATAATCTAGGAGCTCCGTTTAGAGAACGAATAGCTCCGAGCTTTAATATAATAACTTTAAAACGGAACGAGTATAAAAGCTCTTCCCCTTTAATTATTCGATAATAACCCTAGAGCACTTTAATCTTTTATTACCTAGGTACGCTAATACTATAAAGCTAATAAAGGCTAACTTAAATACTAGGGCGAGAAGGTCGCTAACGCCTCCTCTTACTTTAAAGGGGACGCTTTATATTAATTCGAACCCTTTATTAAGGACTATTCTACTTATATTAAGAAAGAAGATATAAAGTAAGTTATTTAGGATATCTACGTTAATATAAACGTATTCGAAAAAGCTATTAAAGGAGCGTTTAGGGATATAAACGAGGAACGATAAAACGAAAGAAAAATCCTTTAGCTTAAATAGACCGGGCTAGCTATTAAATATATTATAGAGTTTCGATTCTTAGCTAATCGACTCGATTAGATAGAATCCGCTCTTATAGCCTATTTCTATGAAGGATTTAAAGATATTATTAAGGACGATTTTATCTAAAAGGATAGACCCGAAACCCTTACTGAGTATATTACTATAGTTATTAAAATCGACGATCGCTAATATAAACGTAGAATAGAAAAAGGACGAAAGCCCGCTATAGGACTATAGAACCTTTATATTCCCTATTATTAATCTAATTAAGGACGTAAATATTAATATAATAAACCCTATATTAATATAGCTTAGGGATAGACTACCTATATAGGACCTATAGAGCTTAATAATATTAAATATAATAAACTAAAGGATCTTAAGGATATAAAATACTATAATTATAGTAAAAATAAGTATATAGCTCGAGAATATTAATAACCTAAGAAACCCTAGAAACCTATAAATAAACGATAGCTTAATTATACTTAATACTAGGACTATATTAAAACTAATTAGACTTTCTATTATTAGGATAATTACTTAACCTATAAGGATAATAAGGAATAGAATAGATAATTCCTTAGGGTATTTATAGGATAAAGAACCCTAGCTATAATAATTATTACTAAGAAGGAAAAACGAATTTAGAAATAAGCTTAATAAGTAATATTAGAGATTTAGGAAATCGATATAAACGAAGAAAGGGCTTATAAATAAGCTTACCCGGAACTATAAACTATACTTTATATTAGATTTATAAATAATAAAGAATAGGATAAATATATATAAATAAATTAAAAGGAGGAACTCTTATTAAGATAGCTTTAACTCTATATCCTAATATAGACTTATACTATTAATAACCCTAATAAGGATTACGATCCCTTTATATTATAGGACGAATTTACTTATTATAGGACTAAGCTATAGAAGGCTAGCGCCCGAAAATAAGAAAATATAAAAGAAAACGTATAACTTATAATAAGAGACTATCTAGTACTCTATTACGCTTATAAATAATACTATTAATTATTTTAGCCCGAATATATTTACGATAATTATAAATATTAT